ACTTACTTAGCATTAGCTTTAATTAGACCTGCTACCTTTAAATGAAAGGGATATTGCTTTATGATCTTTCAAGGCTAGTTTGTTAACAGACTTATTCTGTCATTGATCCCTAAGGGTCAATATGAATGTCAGACATAGTCAAAGAGGGACGGTCTGGTATGATAAGGAAATAAAAAATATATTTTATGTGGAGTTAAGCAGTTCATTATTTGTCACTTATGACTTGTCCCTCTCTGTTTTCTGGGTAAGAATGGGAAAGTATATTGTCTTAGGTCACAAATAGTGAAGCTGGACAAAACAAATTCCATCACAAGTATTTCAAATTGATTTTTGTAAGTCAGATCTCAATTCAGTAGAATGCATTGTTTAAACCTTTGAGGACCAATGATGCCTCCCCTTATGGACACATGACATGTGTGACATGTCATGATTCCCTTTTATTACAGAAGTTTGTTCCTTAAGAGGTTAATGATGCTTTTCTAAAATGGAATGCCCTATTCACAAATAACTGTTAAATGGAGCTGCTGATCCCTATCAATCAATGCATTTCATGCTGGCATTAGGCTTTTAAGAACAAGATTAAGATATCAAAGCATTGCACTGGTTTTGAGGAGTTAATGACAAGTTGAATAAAAGTATGTCTTCAGGCACATACTGAAAAATCTATTTAATTTTATGTCACATCATGAAAATGTGCTGTTTTGTATGTGCATGTCAATTGTGTATGTATGTATATGTGTATTTCTATTAAAGGGGAGCTCTTTCTGCAATTTACACCACTGGATAAAATATGCATGTGTTACCCTTGTTTCACAAGGTGCTTCATTCCATAACAATGGCTAACAGGGAGCTAATATGGAGGCACCCAGTTCAAGGAAAAATTGATTTCACATATACATATTTGTTAAGTATCAGAATAAGTGAACATAACATTAAAAATGTATAGAAAGTAACTGGTTCCCTTTAAATAACTTTCTCACAAGTTACTTCTTAATCTGCACGTGGAAAAGTAGGCAAAACATAGAAAATGCTAATATCCTCACCTTAAAATAAACTTCTGTATTTTTTTTCGTATACCTTAATCTCTCTATGTTACAGAACTCTCACTCATGTAACTTTCAAAAACCAAGGTCACATATCACAGAGCCTGTTTTCGCAAGTCATTTTTTTCAGTACCAAACACCTATTTAATATATTTTTACTGTAAATATGTACACATTGCTAAAGGGCATAAGCCACCATAAACTGCTCATCAAAACCAGCATTTTGCTATGCTGAAGATTTACTCAAAACAAGATCTAAAACACATGCCACTAATAACCTTCTCTATCTATGGTGATTAGTAAAAAAGGAATACAGAGTAGATCACACATGGAACTAAAAAAAGTTCACCCAGTGCAGTTAGACTAACCCACGTACTGTTGCTTAATTTTAGGTCCAAACTCTACACAGTTGTGCTGAAAGACTACCAAGGTTATTCACTAAAGTGAACATTTACAGTGAATTAAAAGGGTATTTCAAATGTAAGGCCAGGGTAGTCGAACTGAACTTAGAAAATGTTTCCAGATTGGCTATTTTGACAATAAATTTAAAATTAATTTTCGTACAAAGCTGGTAATCCGGGTACCATATCCTTTCTCAATGCATTATGCCCTTCAAGGATGACAGGGCAATATTTTCTTGGATAATGTACTATTAAAGGACCACTATAGTGCCAGGAAAACATACTCGTTTTCCTGGCACCATAGTGCCCTGAGGGTGCCCCCACCCCCAGGGTCCCCCTCACGCCTGGCTCTAGGGTGAAAAAGGGGTTAAACTTACCTCTTTCTCCAGTGCCGGGCGGCGAGCTCTCCTCCTCCTATCCGCCTCCACTACTCCTCCTCGGTTGAATGCGCATGCCAGGCAAGAGCTGTCTCATAGGAAAGCATTATCAAAGGCTGGTTTAACCCTAATATAAACTAATATAATCTCTGAAACTGCTATGTTTATAGAAAAAAGGGTTAAACCTAGCTGGACATGGCACCCAGACCACTTCATTAAGCTGAAGTGGTCTGGGTGCCTATAGTGGTCCTTTAATTCATCCTAATGTGCAGGACCAGAATGTGATGCTTTAAAATATATAATAGCTATGCATTAGGAGAGAAATCAAACTGGGTTTTTCACTTTCGCTGTGATATAGCCACTCTGTGACCATAAGTAAGCCTATGATTTTTTACACAACAGTGATCAAATTACATTTGCTAATGTTCTATATTCGATATGGACTTCGATATAGCCTAAATTAATTTTAATGGTACCACCTTTATAAATTAAATAACTTTTTCTATACATCTGGCAAGATGGGCTGCAGATGGGTGCATTAGAATATATATTTTTTAAATCTAGTAGCCCCCAACCCTCTGGCCACAGAGGAGGGAAGGGGAAAGGGGGCTGCTAAGTGATTTACCAACCTCCTATTGGGTGGAGGCATGGTGGGGACCAGGGTCCTCTTCCATTACTTTACAGGCCACTTTCTCTTGGGATGGGGCTTTTCGAGCAAGTGGACAGTTGCTATTTTTTTATGTTTAGCAGATATACCTCCACCTGCCACATGGCAGGTAGGGGCATAAGTTAGGTATACAACCTCCCTTACAGTAATGACCCTATTTTTTTACATTTATGACCCTACTTTTTAACATTTTAATGTTGTGGCTGGTTTACAAGTGCTGGTGAGCCATCACAGTGTTCACCTTTTAGTCGCCAAGGGTAATTTAATTATTTGCCCGCTTCCTGCCCGTGGACATATAGTGTATCAAATTATTGTTCTATTGCAAAAATCAAGTGAACGATAATGTGCGAATGTGAATTTTGCTGAATGTTTTCGGTCCCATTTTTGTAAAATCTGTACTTTGTAAAAATTTCAAGTCTTATACTTTGTTATGGGGGTCACATGCCAATAGCACTGATTTTAATCTAAACACAGAATGCATCCGGCCAATTGGTGCAGATTTGGTTGGGTTAGATTAATTATGACTGGAATAAGCTTTAGAAAAAAGATGCATAGTTACATAGTTGAAAAGAGATGTGTCCACAAAGTTTAGCCTGTTTTTTGCGGTTGATCCGAAAGAAGTAAAAAAAACAGTTTGCAGTGCTTCCAACTTTGCAACAAACTAGGGGGAAAAAAATCCTTCTTGAGCCCAGAATGGTAATTCAGATCTCTCCTTGGATGAAGAAGATATTACCACACAAATTAAAAATTATATCCCTGAATATTATGCTTTTGCAAGTTTAAACATGTCTGTATAGACCGTGATAAAACCACCTCTTCAGGCAGAGAATTCCATATCCTTATTGTTCTTGCTGTAAAAAACCCTTTACTTTGCATTAGACTACATCTCATTTCATCCAGTCTTAACAAGTGACCTTTTGTCCTATGTATAGTCCTATTTATGAACAGATTTCCAGACATTGGTTTGTGTTGGCCCCAAACATATAGTAAATTTGAGAGTTGCAATTCATGGCAGTATTCAGCCATTTTCACTGGATTTTGTCCAAAGGAAAAAAAATCCACTGTTTAGTACATTTTCCTGACATGGTTCATTGGTTTTAAACTAACTGCCTACATCCCACCCTCCCCTTTTGCCGAGCATAATGCACCATATGCATGATGCCAACAGGCTTGTTTCATTACCAGTGCATCTGCATTTTAACTAATAGGCATCTTTTAAATCTCCCAACTATTCTTGTAAACAGAAAAACAAGTTTGCCAAAACGTTGTGTTAGTAATTTTAATTTTAGAACAATGTACAGATAAAAAGTAATCCTCTTTAATTAAAACTTTACATGAGTGTACCATGGCAGGTGCAGTTTAAAGAAACACTTATAGCACCATAATTACTGCAATGTGCTGCAATGGTTATGGTACCTGGAGTCCACCCAACCATGCAGCTTCTGGCTTTTTGCAGAGGAAGTACCCAGGGCACTCCTAGCAACAGAACCACTACAGCGCGCTGTAGTGCCTGGAGTGTGCCTTTAAACAAATATATATTTTAGGTTAATAGTTTTTTGATACTTAAAAATGGTTCACTTACATAGCAATTCTATAAAATAAAAATCTTTTTAATTTCTGAAAACCCAATAAAACTGCACAATGAACAAAGAAATGTTGTCAAATTTTTAGCAAAGTTTTTATACTCTGGTAATTTGGTTGAACAATCTGCAATATATCACAAATATAAATCTTCACTTAAATCTACTGTGATCATTCGAAGGTAGCAGGTGTTCTTACAAGACATAACACTTTTACTGCAACCTGCTGTCCCAATTGATCATGATGTGATCTTCTAATTCAGATCCCTTTGTAAAGATCAGAGCACTTCACCACCCACCAAAAACAAACATCTACTTAACATAAATGAAAATCAACAAGACTGATGTACATGACAGTCCTAACCATATGAAAGGAATCTTCCTTATCTTGGTTGTATGTGTACACATTAACAAGTACTATAATTATCTGACAAGGAGCAAGATGTTTTACATCAACTTTCTTATGTCAAAAATGTGCTTCATTTGTACCATTTATTTAATTATAAAAATGACTAGACTTTCCATCCAAATGTATTATATGGATAAGAATATAGATAATTAATTACAATTAAAGAACATATTTATATATCTGAATGTTAATTGCTTGGTGTGTTTGTTCATTGTCTGAGAAGATGGGGAAGTACCCTGGCATTTGTAAATGTGAATAAGCATTGTGACATTACAAAATATAGTAGCTTTTTTATGTTGTATATTTTGTTATATTTTGATATTCATTCATATTGTTATATGGGGGATTGCACACTGATATAGCATGCTAAAGGGGGAGGGATTTACCAAGACAAAATAAGGTAGTTCTGGAGCATTATGCTTCGTAAGGGGCAATCACTATAGAAACCAAATGATTGTCTCTCATATTGATATAACCTTAACATTGTGGGGTGCTAGATTTTGGGGCAAAAGTTAACTCTGCCTCCTGACATTTTTTTGCTTTTGCTCATTTAAGCACCTGTCCTCAGCCTCTGACTCAGTAAGAACTCATGCCTTGTTCATCAACATAAATCAATCTATCTTTCTCTCTCTCTCTCTCTTATGACAGCTGTAGAAAATAGGACAATATGGTCGTCTGTCTATTAGGATCTCTCAGGCCAATACAGCACAAATGAAGGGTGTTAGAAATTCTGTTATAACAGACTAAGTGTTATATTAAAAAAATACCATAAATCTTGACATGGTTATTTGCTCTGTCTCAAAGCTGCAGTCATTAATAAGGTGGGGCTACTATAGAACTAACCATGACACAAACACAAACTTATCATCAGTTCTTACCGCACACAATAGGTTTTATTTCTATATTTATTTATTTTTATTATAACAAAAATGGGGTGGGTGTTCACTCTGCTTATATGAACCCAACACCACTGGTCTCTCATATACTGTGCATCAGAATAGCACCTGTTTTAATTTGACAAATCTACCCCTAATTTTGGGACACCAATACTGCAGTTACTGTAAACCTGGATTAATAAAATTAATATATATTCATGTTCCTTGAATGTCAATATATGCTAATCTATATTAGCTGATTTTTAAAATATATTTTATTTTTTCTTGTATGGCATGTGCAAAGCTTTCTTGTTTGTGCATTATATTATATATCAGAGTTTATGGGGATCAGATCACTTGTATGTACTATTACTCCACCAGTAATTTCCTGATTCAGGTTTTGTAGATATTAACCTGTATGTGGGTTTTATTAGCCTGTATGTATATATACATATATATTATTAGTTTGTATGTCTATGTATATATATATATATATATATATATTAGTGGGCACAATGGATACAGTGATCCACTCTTCAAAACAAGTCTTAAAATTACATTAAAGCATCACATTGTATTTTGTGTATGATCTATCACTAGGGGGCATGCTTGCGCACCGAGAAAAATATCCATTTGGGGAGAACATGAAAGATTCCAGTGCAACTCTGTGTCAACAAATGGGTATTCAAAACAAATATATGTGTATATTGTTGTAGCTTACAACCTTCTTTCACAGTTTGTAATTGGAGAATAGATAACGTGAATTTGTATAATGATATAGTGTGTGTTTTGTTTTAATTTGTTTGCTCAAGGAATGTAGCTGATTTTTTTCATTTGCACTGTATATTTAAAAATAAATAAATAAATAAATCTTAAAAAATCTACAATTATAGTGCCTGACTCAATGTATTAGGGTCTATTGACTAAACAGCTAGTTGTGGTCAATTTAGATCTAACTTGCAATTCATTTGTCCAAAATAGAAGTGTCTCAAAATAATGCTTCAACACTGCTGTGGATTTCTTTTTCTAGCAGGCTGTTCCCAACTCACATTAACGCACTTCTCTTAATGAATAGACTCCATTGTTGTATCTGTAATTACCAAAGTGGGAAAACTAATTTTTGTTTGTTGCAAATGCCCATTCTAAAATGTAGTCTAAAGGCACAAGTAGTAATTTTATTCTCTTTTTATGTTAAATGTCAAGATAATGCTAGATAAAGCCAGATAATGTTATAAACTTTGTAACTGAGCTGTATCTCAAAATGTTATTTTCCTATAGTAATTGAAATTTAATCTACAGAGGTAAATGTATCTAATACATTAGAATTCATTTTCTGCTCTCAACGTGACATCAGTATTACAAATATTGCAGAAGGGGTAACATTTTATTAATATTCCAAAAAATATTTCAGTGTGCCATTATGGTTTGCAAACATCCATGGCATTCTGAAAGATAAGTTGAATCTCGATCTGTATCACTTTTTATAAAGCCATTAAACTATATTCAAAATGAAACATGAAAGGATAAGCAAAAGTAAATGTAGCGTGATGAGTAAAATAAATTAAAAATAGTAAATGTTTTACTATTCCTGTTTTTTTTTTTTTTTATAGGTCAGCTTAATCTTTTATATATATATATATATATATATATATATATATATATATATATATATATATATATAAAGAGTGCTGAATGTGTCATTAACTAACTGGTGTTTGTAGGTGTTAGATGGAATTGTATCAAATGAAACACACATTTTTGAAATAATAAAAAAGCCTTTGTCCTTTGCCTTTTGCAAAACAGACTTCTTTTGTGTACAGCTATAACATTTTACTGTGTTAAGCTATTGTTGCACTGTGTATTATGAGAATTTATTATCCTACAGGTTTGGTATCATTTACACCATTTTGTAAAAGGTAGAATGTTATTGTCAGTGAAACTTTTACCTAAATTCAGTTTACTATAGGATTATAGTATTTTTTTACAAGACTTGAAAAAAAAATACTTCATTCATTTTAAAAGATAAACACTCATAAATTTTAAATTGGCTTGTAAGTTGCCAGCATTCCAAAAAAGGGATATCACAAATCTCCAGCCAGTCAGTGCAAGCTGGGCGGAGCTTTCACTGAAACCTAAACACTGACAGGTGTATAAGTACAGCTAAGGAAGGGCACAACTAATACACCTGTTTCTAGACAGTAGCTAGCACAAGATCATTTGGCTCAGTTAGCTACCAGCTCTCATAATGAGTGCATTTGATCAACAGACACAGTCTCCACCTCGCTGTGGGCCACAGTTTCCAAATATTGGCCAGGAACCTCCAGAGATGAATATCTACTGTGAAAGCATCTTCCATCCTCAGGCAATGCCAAGTCCTCAACGACCTTCAAACTTTGAAACTGGTGACTATAGCTCAACAGCTAATCCCTTTCTGTGGCTCAATGGACCCTCCATAACACCACCTCCATACCTTCCAGGATCCAACTCCAGCCATTTTATGTCTCAGTCATATGGTATGCAAAGACAGCTCATACCTAACATGCATGGCTTGGGAGGCTCAGAATTGGGTTGGCTTCCCATTCCTTCTCAAGAAGAACTGATGAAACTGGTAAGGCCACCCTATTCTTACTCTGCTCTAATAGCCATGGCAATTCATGGGGCACCAGATAAGAGACTGACACTGAGCCAGATCTACCAATATGTAGCTGATAACTTTCCCTTCTACAACAAAAGCAAAGCTGGATGGCAGAATTCAATTCGACACAATTTGTCACTTAATGACTGCTTTAAAAAAGTTCCAAGGGATGAAGATGATCCAGGTAAATATGCGTTCACTTATTTTAAACTTTCTTTTAAAGATTGTTGATATAATAGCGTGGAGTGTTGCAACTTTTTAAAATATCTTTCATCAAAATCTATGTTTAAACTGTGTTACATGGTTCAAAAGTGCACAGGCATTTATGCCAGAATAGGAAGTATGAGAGACCATTTATCATTTTATTCTGAAGTTTGATGCTTTGTATAATATGAAGTGAACTTCATATTAAAGATATTTAACTTTTTTGTTCTGAACTATGGAAACTCTTAATGTTTATATTTATCTTTATTTCTTTATTTTTCTATAACTGTCAGTTTCTTAATTAAAGGTGGCTAGTTTAAAAAAAAATTTAAAGTGTTTGAGACTGTGTTTCAACCGGCCAGTTACACTGGACCTGTAATTTATTTATTTAATTAAAAAAATGTTGCTGCATGTTAAATATAGCATTTTAGATGTATCAAGCTTAGTGTTTTATTTATTTTATTTTATTTAATTAGGAAAGGGGAATTATTGGACACTGGATCCAAACTGCGAGAAGATGTTTGACAACGGAAACTTCCGCAGAAAGAGAAAAAGAAAGTCAGATTTGAATCCAAATGGACAACTTTCTTCTGAAAAGAGTGAGGGCAATCCACTGTCTGATAGTGAAAAACATGAAAAGCAGCAAGGTTTGTTGGAAAGCTCATCATCAGGAACAGATGACTCATCTGAAAATAGATCATCTCCACCTTCCATTACACCATGTCTTAATAACTTTCTCTCCAGCATGACTGCTTATGTTAACAGTGCTAATTCCGTAGGTAGGTCTGTACCACTTGGACTTAATAATGAGACACCTGATAGAATGGGACAGAATTTGGTTGGTTTAAATTCATACTCTCCCCTATCAAATCTACAAAGCCATGGAAGTTCAGAATGGTCATCTGCAGTCTCATCCAGTCCCTTTGGTTACAGCAATTCTGTTCTTAATCAATTCAATACCCATTTCTACAACAGCATCGGTACCAATGGTCCTGTTTACAACAGGGATGGCACAGAAGTATAAAATCTTTTTTTAAAAACAACAAAAACACTGTAATTTTCTTAATAGAACTAAATGTTGATTTTCAGAGAACATGCCATTCATACTGCCTTCTGTTGTTCTCGTTACTAAAAATGAGTAGATGCATGGACTTAGTTTGATGTTTTTAAAACATTTTGTTACAGAGACATGTACAATGCAATGTATTTTTTTTCTTCCACCTGTACATATAGGGCTACATATATCTGTTTAGTAATAGATTTCGGCTCCGTTCATGAAAAACTGTCTTAAGTTTTCCTAAAACCACAGGATAGGCTTAACTTTGATACAAAAGACTACATGTGTGATATTTGTAACATTGTTTTATTAATCAGCTACTAGTTTATTTTTACATAGCCTGTAATATGTTCATATACTGAATTTCAATTGTCTACAGCGCAAAAATGTTACATATATTATCATGAAGTATAACATATAAAGCATATTCACATTGTTATAAAAATTTGAATGGTAACATGGCTTGTTCTATGAATGTTGAATAATTAGGAAGAATGCTTTTATATACAGACTACATAGACTATAAAAATCTTTTGTTTTGCTAAAGATTTGTATTTATAAATGTTTACTGGGTATGTATGGTTTTTAAGAGCGTTACATATATGGTGAATGCAGACACATCATAACTTTGTATATATTGTATACGTAAAGCTGACTTCACTGTGCGGGTAAACTATGGGTTATTTTCTAATAAACTGAAAGAAAGAAGTAATTGTTAGTTTTCTGTCATTGAATTTCACTGCAATACAAAAATAAAATAATGCAAATCAATGGGCAGGAGGTGAACATAACACTACATACTATGGCACTGGAGAATGTATATGTGCTAATGTGCTACTGTCTGAGGCATTCCCATTAATGAGCAAAAAACACAAAAAACGTGCAATACATTACACAATTCATTACAAAACATGCAAAAAAAAAGTGTAGACAGATCATTCTTATTAATTAAAAAGGTATCTCTAGCATGATCAAAACTGCATTCAATAGTATGCACATATATTAAAATAAGAGTAATAAAAATAATGTGATAAACTACAGGCACTGCAATATGTTATGGTATGTGTGTGCTAGTCTTTATCAACATATTTGGCATAGTATTTTGGGCATGTGTTTGTATGAGTAATATTTTTTTTTTCATTATTCAAAAACTTGCTGTGTGTGAAAAGGAGAAAACTTTTGCGATGTAGACACAGTAGCAACACAATGCTATGTGTGAAAAGGAGCAAACATTTGCAACATTAACACAATCACAGCACAGTGTTTTCCAGCAGTTTGTAGGCCTGTTTGTTGTGTTTGTTGTGAAAAAAAAATCATTGGGTTTTTATTAGCACAGATTTGTACAAAATGTCTCAAACATGTAATATATGCTCCTTGCATGGCATTGCAGAGCATTATTAAACATTTTGTTTTTCACTTAAGGGCTTGTCGTGTGCTCCCTATACTTCCTTTTCATATCCATTCATATACTACGCCATCCACATTTCATATCCCAATATACTGCTCAATCAGTCCTAATTTAATTTTCATATACACCCTCTTCATACTATTTGTGTACACATAACCCATATAATATGCATCTTCCTAACACAATAAGACATAAACCCATTCATTACTCATTATCAGACACAGTGACCTAGTTATTTTGTTGAAGTCTACTCCTACTCAACCAACAGGTTCATCTTTGCATTAAGCATCTCGTGCATGTCCTGACCACGGGTAAAAGACTTCTTTTGCCCTTTCAACATTTTGCTGAGGCTGAGATAAAATTCAACTTCTCTCCTGACTGCAGGAATGCTTGTAAGTGGAAAGACGTCCTACCTGACCATTTCTGGCCAAGTAGCAGCATTATATTGGTGTTGTAAACTAGTTTACAATGAAAGCTCTATGTATCCCGTAGGTGTCTATCTCTGGAAGTAAAGGAGCCAGTCAGGAGCCTATGTCATGCAGTCATTCTTAGCCAGCTGCAGACTATGATGATGAACCCATGCTTGACACCGTCAAAACATCAGTATATGGAAAACTTTAACATTTCTTTATAAACAATATTTACATGGTTGGTTGACTAAATAATAGAATTAATTCCTCACACAAAATACTTTATTTTTTTACTTTATTTTTCTTTTTTACTTTATAATTAGCATGATCCACCTGAATCAAATACCTTATCATGTGTTTTTTTGCTTCTAGTTCAACTGTTTCTAACATGCACTGTCCCTGTGAACTTTCATACAAACCATTTTAGGTGAGGTGTCCAGGTAAGGGCTATTCCAGAGCATTTCAGGTTACAACCAGAGCATTTCAGGTTACAACAATTATGTTATTGAATTTAGTGGAAACTCTAAGCAACAAAACTAAAATGGTGGGCTGTTATGGAAATGGTGCATCTGGTGCCTTGGGCCATCCCACAGTGAGCAGTTTTAAAATATTTTGACATGTCCTTATTTCCCCAGGTGCTCACGGTTCCCTCCTCCCTTCAGATACCATTAAAGAAGTTGCTAATAAATTTGTATTTATCAGTTCCACTCATCTTTAATAGATAAAATAAATTATGTGCAGGCACTCAGGATTGCTGCAGGAAGGCAGATTTATTGAAACAAAAACTGCAATGTTTCTGCCTACACAGAGGTCTTTTTCAAGCTTGATAAAGGCCTCCTTGTAAGCCAAAACGTGGCAGTTTTTGTTTTAATAAACTGCAACCAGGTGCCTGGACATAATTTATTTTATCTACTAAACTGGGTTTTGTCAACCCTGGCCGTGATAAGCATCTGGATTCCTAAGTTGAGAGCGGTACCCTCCATTTGTGAATTACCACTCATTTTGTGAACTTCCACTATAGCGATAACTAAAAAGGAGGTACATGTCAAACCATTAAAAAACATCTTGTCTAATTGCTAATTATTCTAGAACAGTGTTTCCCAAACCAATCCTAAAGATCCACCAACAATCCAGGTTTTGTCAGTTTCACCATTCACCAATATAATAGGGAAATACATTAATCACTTTGGGAACCACTGCTCTAGAATGTTGCCAGGGGACTTATTTCATCATAACCACTACATCATGCTGTAGTGATTATGGTGCTTAGGATGACCAACATATTACATGTACACCAACTAATGTATAAATAAAAAAAAAAATGTAAATTTTTTTTTAAAGAAAATTAAATTAGTTCTATTGTTGTAGAATTCAAACAATCAGCAAACAGTATGGTTTAGTTTTTTTTATTAAAAAATTAACATGAGCAATTATTAATAATGAATAATGAAATACACTTTGGGGGGGAGGGGTGCTATCACTGCATAACATTGTATTCATGTTTAGGCCTAGAAATTAGGAAAGAGGATACACAACTATAAGCAAACACATAATCCTAACATTAAAAACTAAAGATTTAGTTAAGATTTTCATGCAGTTTTCAAGTATTGTGAAAAAAGATCATCTTTTAAATTCAGTTTTGCATGAGTAACACATAACATCTTCAGACAAATTCCAAACACAGAAAAAGTGAAATGTTGTTTTAACTTGATGCCAATCTACCAGCATAATGTTCTGAATATGGTATGCATAGTGGTATATTGTAACTGTCATTTATCTTAACATCTCATTTCCCAAACTATTTAACTCTTTATTTTCTTGTGAAGTTTCTTCATGTATCTTTTCGTGTAGATTAAAATAAATATTTTACTGTGCACTTACTATATTTTTCCAATATTACAGGATTATCATGTATTTTTAATAAAGAGCATATCAGAAGGGTACAGCCCATACACTGTTAAGGGGCCTAGAAAAGTAATGGGCCTGTGACCCTCATTTGCATGGAGGCAATTCGGGCACCTTACAAAGTATTATAAAGGGGGGCCCAATAAAATGATGGCATTTTATACAATATATGTTGCATTTAAATGCAAGTGCAGTACATGGGTGAAGAGGGAGCCTGCATGGTCTCTGGGCTGTCAGGGCACATTTCTTATTTCTACTTAGCATTATTACTGATTGTCCACCACTCAGAAACCCCACTTGTTATTATTATTATTATTATTGCCATTTATATAGCGCCAACAGATTCCGTAGCGCTTACTTGTTAACACTCAATGTCTAAAATTCCCTGAGTCTTCCTGTATGACCCCTCAAAGTCGTATGTGGAGAAGAAGGATTTAATAAAACAAACTTTGGGGTTGAGGTAAAGGGTTCAACTGTTGTGTAATGGATGCTGGGAAGGTGTGAAATGTATGTAAAGGATGAAAGTGGTTGGGTTGATAGAATATGTAAAAGATGCAGATGAAGTACTTAAAAGAATCTCTAAAGTATGTACTTTAAAACTTTCATTTATTTTGTGGTATCATTAGTCACCAATACACCAGTAAAATAGATAATCTACAAAGTTAAAATATAGATATCTTCTTTAAGTCCAATTATGGTCATGTTCAAAGTATATGGAGCATTAACTCATGTAACATTTGCATTTTATTCTATTTTTTAACATTTGAGCTAAATCAATATTTTGGGCATATTACAGGGCTTTAAATATTAATTCCAAACTATGCTTTGCTGACTAGAGAACCTATGTCAACGCAGCAAAAATATAGCATGAAATATTCACATTGACTGTGTTAGAATTTCATTAAGACAACATAGGAATTAAGGTAAAGCCTGAGGTTGAGAAACCTTTGCAAAAGATAAAGTTTTCACCATCACATTTTGCCATTACTTCCAGCAACGGATTGAGAGACTTGCAGGATTATTTACTAAAGTGAATTAAAAGGTAATTTAGGGTCAAAGTGGCTGCAACGTAAACATCGCTGCCTTACAGAGTTTTTCAGTTCAGTACTATATGGAATGCAATGTCTTAAAAGTCCCTGTTGGTGTAATGGTCAGGTGTCCCAATATTTTTGTATTGGTACACCTGACCATTACACCAACAGGGACTTTACACCACTCAATCCAATGCGCGGCATTGTACTTGGTGGTAAGTGGCTTGCATGCAGCTACGTGGTCATGGAAACCCATTCCATAAAGCTCCAGCCGCACAGTTTTTGTGCTCTGCTCATATTAATGTCAGTGCCTGGAAGTCTTCAGCTCTGGAATCAGCAAAGCATTGGTGACTTTCACGCACCAGGCAACTCAGCACTCCAAGATCCTGTCTTCCGTTGTGTCTGAGTTGTTGCTCTTCCTAAACACTTCCACTTTCAATAATACCACTTGCAGTTGTGTTTGAAATATCTAGAAGAAATGACATTTCACAAATTGACTCATTGCAAAGGGGGCATCCTATCACAGATCCCCACTTGAATTCACTAAACTGTTTAGAACCACCCATAATTTTCACAAATGTTTGTAAATGCAGACTTCATGGCTATGTGCTTGATTTTTTTCCACCTGTGGCAATGGGTTTATCCCAGTACTTTTGTCCATATACTGTATTTTGGCTTTAAATTTGAACTCCACTCGAATGTTTACTTTAGTAAACAACCCTATTAGTCTATGGACAATAGTGTTAAACTCACACAAGTACAGAATTGACCACTGGCAGAACTACTTATGCTGCAGTCAGAGGTAAGATGGCTGCAATCTTGGGGGACCCATTAGATGTCCTTCACACTTAGTTAAATGGACATCTGAAGGGCATGTCTTATTAGGGTAGGGTACAGCCTATCTTTAAAGAGGCACTGTCACCAACTTGGGACTTTGCCGAATTCGCAAAGACCCCTAATGATGACATTTGCCACAGCATCCTCAATAGACACAGCCAATTTCCTGGCTGTGTGATGGCTGGGGACAGTTGTCAGGATTGACACTTTATTTCATAAAGATTCTATATTTATGAAATATTTTAACAGTGTAACCAGTAATATTTTAACAGTGTAACCTGTGAAATTGGCAGTCCTGGGAGGAAGTGAGTACACTTTCTTCCAGCTAATAGGGCACTGCGCAGGGTGGCAGAAAAGGAAGCACAAAAAGGAGGAAGGAGAGAGCCTGAGCCAGATTCTCATCAGCCTCAGCCAGCAGTCAGGCAAGGGAATCAATCCTCAAGCAGTTATAGAAGCAGGGGTGGCTAAAATGTGTAAATCATGACTTGTGCGTGTTTTTGTCAATGTATGTATCTGTGTGTGTCAGTTGTGCATGTGTATCTGTGTCAAAATGAGTGTGCGTTGATTTGTGTGTGCAAAACCATGTGGCTGCTTACGGGTCCATTCAAACTGCAAATGCCAGACATTGTTCACACTATTTAACAATGTCCAAATTTTGCAGTTAACTTTGGCCAGATTTCACAGTACAGCTGTGTATAATGCTCCAACTCTCGCTGTATAACTATAATTCTCTAGCCCTCTCTGAATCTCTAGCAATCCCTTTTCTGATCTCATCTTCATAGTATATCTTTCTAGAAAATGTTGCTACTGTGGCTATTATGAAACTCCTG